GCTTTGGCATTCTAAGGTTCTCAAAAATCCGCGTAGAATTTCCTTCCTCAAGCTCTGTAACCCACGCTGCACCAGTGAGCACAGACGTTCTACATGGGTCCTTGCAGATGTGACGCCCGCAGTAGTATCCGGACGTGAGGGTAATGATGCGCGCGACTTGCTCGAGCTCTTCATCACTGCTATCATTTGGATCCTCCATCGTTCGCGCCAAAATCGATCTGTTTCGTGGGTACACAAAACTGAGTTATAGAATTTGTGTGTTTGGCACGCCAAATTGCAGTTTAGTCCGAAATAACGATGCTAGAAAATAATTGCGTTTTACTGATAAGATGCCAAACGGACACAAAACACGATTTTGCATGCTCACAAAAAAAAATAACAACGACCAATCTAATCGCAATTTTTTTATTGCGGAGATCCAAACGAGCCCTAACTAATGACCGTTCGCAATTTAAAGTACTTCGAACAGGTCTATTTGCTCAAGTGCCGAGGCATCGCCTGTTGGACGCAAATAAATCTGTTTGAAAGTACTTTGTGTGCAGCGCCAACAGAATTTATCATTTGTACAAACGGGAACTTTAATACAGATACCATGAGGGAAATAGGGCCAATTTGCCCTCGAATAATGAGGCCTGAAATTTCTTAATACGAACACGACAACGGGCTCAAAATGAGCGATCAAAATTCACTCGATAAACCGTGTTCTTTGACAAAAGGGCATCCGCAATTGGTACTGTTTACAGTACTTTTGTGCCTAGAGTGTTTACATAGGTGTACCCTCGATAGAAGATGGATTGGTTGTACAACGAGATTGTGGGAGTATTTACTACTAGTAGCAGTACATTCATCAATTGCTTTTGTTAACGATACCATGTGCAAAATGCGTTGCCCAAACTAGACAACTAACAGCAAAGCAGCTCTATGGAAGAACATGTTTTACGTGGTGTCTCTTGCTACTGTTGCTTCCATACATCAACTTATTCAAGCTTGCCAACACCGAAGTTGTCAGATGTCTTGACCCACACGCTCTCCACATCTTTCGACTGGATCGACGCTGGCTTCGTCTCGGCTAACGGCTTCACCGTTCCAGGGACGGATTGCTGCACTTGCTGCTGCTCCTCCATGCCGCTTGACTGTTGCCGCGAATCACTGGCCTGAGTGGAACCCGTCGAGTAGTCAACGAAAATAGGGACCGTCTTGATAGTCTCAAGAGCAGTTTCCCCGTTACGAGACGGGAAGATACCGCTATCCACCAGAACGTTCGCCTTGCAGGCGCGACCCAGGTATTTGGTGCACTCGTCATCATTATCCACCGTGTACAGAGCTCCGTCGTCGGTCTTGTTGAACAGAGGCATTCTTGTGTTGCTGAAGTAGTTGTCTTCAGCAAGAACCCAGGCATTAGCGCCAATCTCAAAGGAATGGCCAGAATTGTTGCCCCAGTAATTGTTGGCGACGTGCGCAACGACGTGGGCTTCAGCTTCTCCACCGATCTTGGGAGAGCGACCCGAGGTTCCATGCACGTAGTTGTTGAGCATACTGAAACGTGTGACGCCGTAGAAAATGAACGACCAGTAGTGGTGGCCATCGCACGAGGCAGAGTAGTCCGTGTTACCATCGAAATCCGAGTTACTGATGGTCATGGAATCGGTACTGGCCAGGTTCGTCGTGAGGAACTGGCGACCGACGTGCGAGATCTTAATATGGTCGAGCCAAATGTTCTTCATCGTGGTTTT